AGAAGTGGTGCAGAATCGTTGTTGGTTCGGTACTGTAAAATATTGAGAGGGTTTGACTATTCTGAGCGCTTCGAAAACACTATTTTTCATCTCAATAATCGGAAAGGCTGGACTCGTTACCATCATATATATAAGAGAGGGCGCGCGAAAGGAAGCTACAATGTGAATGTGTAATAACAATGTGAAACTCCAAAAGTTTATTCCAAAAAACTCAAAAGACAGCAAAAGTCTCAAAAGTTTTTTAAAATATCTTATCTTGCGATATTTCGGTGCGTAGCACCTTCCTCAGGCCTGAAATTATTTAGCTTGTTTTCCGCTGGATATGAGCCTACAGAAATGCAACCCGCACGGACTATTTCTGTAGGCTCATATCCAGCGGAAAACAAGCTAAATAATTTCAGGCCTGAGGAAGGTGCTACGCACCGAAATATCGCAAGATAAGATATTTTAAAAAACTTTTGAGACTTTTGCTGTCTTTTGAGTTTTTTGGAATAAATTTTTGGAGTTTCACATTGTTATACACATTCAGATGAGTAATGAGACTCCGGGACAGCACCATACTCCGAAGCTACAATGGTCATGAGTCTCCGCCCATCCGACCATCGAGGAATGTGTCTTTAAAGTGGGGAATAGTAACGGAACCAAAATAGGCCATAGTTCTACAGAAATACGGAAACAGCATTTCCATTAATGGTAAATGTTTGACCTTTCTGAAAATTCAGTCGCTTTCCAGGACGACCCCAGTCGGTGTTCTTCAAGAGCTGCTCGATGAGACTTATTGAAACCATTGATTCAGGAATTCCGGAACTTCAAACCGATCCGGATAACTACGAGGTGATCCCTATTTTCTGAGAACTTCTTTCGCTCAAAGAAATTGAACAGGGGGAGGGGGTGTTTACCCGATAATCCTGGCCCACGCGGAGGGCTAAGTACTTCGAAATGAAAGTACTTGACGATTCAAAACTTAGGTGCAAGCTTACTTCCGGGTTCAGGAACCCTATTATTTTTAATAGTACCTACGCTTGCCCACTGTTTTGTGAATGCGTATAATTATGTGGCAAGTTATCTTAATAGGACCTAAACAACTCATAGTCAGAACTGATCATCTTTAGTCTTCCCCCCACTCCTACAAATGGCATTTTATTTCACAAATCTGTCCCTAATTGTAGAATGTTCACTAAGAATTTCATCAAATCCCAATAATCTACCTATCTAGTATCTTTTATCCAGTCTAGTCGTTAATCTTTGCTTAGTTTCCGATATGAGAAAATGGGAGGCGTTTTGTGCTAATAGATATTGGTCACCTTGTGAAAGTGCTAGTGCTGGTCTATTCCTTTGAGATGCGCCACCCTCTGAACCTCCTTCAAGTTTCCAGAAGCATTTGATTGTAAGTTTAGTAAATACAGTAATATGCGCGCGCACCTTTTTTATCCTATTACAGGAGACTATTATTTCTCACCGCGACTTCAGCGGGAAGGAATACCTTTCTGAAAGGGATTCGATTTTACGAACTGAGCAGCTGAGTCAGAGCGTATCTGGTCAACTCACCACCATACCCGGTGTGAAACAGGAAAATTTCTCAAGCTCCTACCGGTTCTTCCAAAATTTCCCGAAAAATTTCTGGTTTTTC